TTCTGCAAGGATCTAAGACACTTCAGTGAAAGATCCTGGAAAATATGCTCTCCCTTCCTCTGGCCTTGGTGAAGTGAGGCTGTGAGGCTAGGTCTTCTAGCATCTTGCTAACACAATGTGAGCCTGACTGGGAATGAAATTGATACTCAAAGGAAGTTGAGCCAAGAGAAGGATGCCAGAGATTCTCTTGAACTCTGGATCCAACCAAGGCTACAGCGGGGCCAGTCTATAAATTGCTCAGTTATACTAGCCAATAGATAAACTCATTTTACTAAGATGGTTGTACCAGGGTTTCTGTTCCTTGCCATATAAAAAGTACTGATTGTGGCCGCTGTCCCTCTCAGAGTCCACTCCCTCTAAAACATAAATCTGATCATATTTTTTTCTTGCATAAAACCTTGCAACATCTACTCAGTGTCCTCTAGATAAAGTCCAAGCTCATTAACGTGGTAGTTGAGATGCACTATTATGGTCTCTGTCTCTATCTCCAGCCTCTTCTTTCCTTGCTTCCATTTTATACAACATTCAACTATTTATACCATGTGCCCTGCTATTCTGAAGAGTGTCTGGGAGCACATGAGTTGTAATCAGGAATTAGGGTGGTGAAAACCATCAGAGAAAACTAGAATCAGCCTCCTCAAGGTGGCGCAGTGGTAAAGAGTCTGCCTGCCAGTGCAGGAGGCACGCGAGACGAGGACGGTTCTATGCCTGGGTCGGGAAGATCCCGTGGAGAAGGAAATGGCAACCCACTCCAGTATTCTAGCCTGGAAAAATCCATGGTCAGAGGAGCCTGGAGGGCTACAGTCCATGGGGTTGCAAAGAGATGGACACAACTGAGCTTGCACAAGCACACACACACACACACACACACACAGAGAAAAACACACTTCAAGATCACCTGGAAGCCCAAGACCTAGACCCAGTAGCCGCACCAGTCCTTATGTGCTAATACTGGAGGTGCTGGGCTGTCCTGGTCACCAGAATCCAAGTTTCTGCTGCTCTCGTTCCTAATAGTATCTCACTGCGAATGCAGCGAGATCTCCATCTTGCTCAATAGGATGCCTAATTGCTTCACCAGCAGGATATCTGACTCAATTCTCCTTATCCAAGGCCATTTGAATTAAATACTCAATGTCAAAGCTCTTAAGTCAGGAGATTGCTTATTTGAGGTACAGAGATCAGGAAGAAGCTTCCCTTTCCTTCCACAACCTTTTATTTGAGAGTAAGCCATTTCTTTCGGACTAAACTTGACCTACTTCAGGGTACTTTGATTTATCAAACAGACAAATGTCAAGTGTTCTTCACTGGATTGGTCCTGTGTGACTTGACTTTAATTACTGTACTAGGGAAGGAATCATTGCCAGGATTGGGACTGCTCTGGGGGACGGAGTCTCTTCCAGCCTGGGTCTTTTAACCTGGGACTCTTTGCTGCAGAGCTTGCACTTGGACAAACATCTCCTCCAACAACAAATATAAAGAAACTATAAGGGACTAAAAATAACTGTGTGCCTGGGCAGTTGGGGCAAATTATGGAAAATGAGATACAAAATGAACAGAAAGACCAACTACCACTTCTGAAGAGCCCGGAGCAAAAAACAGGATGTCGGGAGCAAAAGCAGGGTACTTCCGCATGCCCCCTGCACTCAACACCACCAAAGGGGTGGGCCAACCACCTAAGCCACCCCTTTGGTGGGACTCCTAGACCTGCCTCTACCCTCACCCCATAAGGAAAAAGCTCACCCCACTCAGCAAGTGAGCAAGGGGACATGTTTGTTCTTGCTCCCTCCTGCTCCAGCAGGGGCCCCAATAAAGCATTGCCTGAATTTCTATCAGTTTCTATTGATTAAGAAGGCCAAGAACCTTAGTCAGTAACATGTCGCCCCACTACAATGGTTCGTTACGAATCGATATTGGAGAATTGGTATTCTGAGGCTTCCTTTTTTAGTTATTTTTTTCCTGAGTGGTTAAACAACAAATATTTGTTTTCTCACAGTTCCAGAGATTGGTCCCAGCATGGTCAGGTTCTGGTGAGAGCCCTCCTCCTGGCTTGCTAATGGGATTTCTTGCTATGTCCTCATGTGGTGGAAAGAAAGCTGTGGTGTCCAGCCCTCTATTATAAAGGTACCATGTCTATTGGATCACAGCGCTACCTTAAGAGGAGGCTTCCCTCTGGGTATCAGAGATGTAAAAAGCCCGGTCCGCAGTTGGGGACCAGTCCCCAGTTCCTGACAGCTTGTTGGGTGGAGTAGGTGTGGAGGACAACTAATACTGGGAGGCAGCTCTTGGGAAGAAATGGCCCTTGTTCAGTTCTTTCTCTCTTTTATAAATGCTATGAACTGCTTGACTTTGGGATGTTTGTTTTTTATATTTTACCTGCAAAGGATTTGGGGTCATGAAAAAGAAACTAAACTTCTGTCTTCCTGGGTCCCATTGTTTCAGCAGTTTAAACTCCCCTGTGATTGTTGTCCCTTCTGACTTGAGAGGGCTGCCTGGATCACTCATTAGAGCTGAAATGTGATACCTTACATTCATTATCTCACCTAATCCTCATGATAATCTTATGAATTAACTACTATTATTGACCTATTTCTCACATGTGAAAACTGAGGCTTAGAAAGGCCCAGCACCATGCTGAGAGTCTTCCATTCTCTCCTTTGCAAATATGGTTGGAGGACCTGTGGTATGCCAGGCCCTATTTAATTCTCTGGAGCTTCCCATACTAAGTGTTGGGCCTGAAATTCCAACACACATCTGATTCCAGATCTGCATATTTTGCTGATGGACTCAGCTGCTTCCCCTGTGGATGTCACCTGTAACATAAGACAAGATGCTTTGGTCCTTGATAGTAAGAGTTGATGCTGAATTCATTTATACCTTCTAGCTCACACCTTTGTAACACAAGAGACAAAAATATAGCTGAAGTTACTTGTCCATGATGTGAAATTTGCTCTCCTGATTTAAAAAAATGCTATAGGTTTTTGACTTTCCCTTTGAGTATGTTATTTAACTTTAGAAAGAAAATCCTTTAGATCCACAGACTTAGAAAAGGTGCCCGGGGCTGAATCAAGGTCCTACCATTTCCAGCTGTGTAACCTTGAGCATTGGTTTCAACATATTAAAAAAAAAACACAAGGATATGAACTGACATCAGAGAGTTGTACAAAGGCTGAATTGGCCGATCAATCCAAAGCCCCAAGCACTATGTGTGGTGTAAAGTAAGGGAAAATGAGTGGCAGCTTTCATTAAGGAGGCTGAAAATTGTAAAGAGGCTGCTGGATTTTGCAGTTGGATTGATGATGCACATTGAGAGCAGCTCAGTGGAGACGTGGGGTGGAGGTCTGGCTGTAGGTGAATGAGAGCTTGAGAAAGTGACACCTCAGAGTGTAAAAACTACCTGCTGTTGGAACTCTGCTGTCCATCCAGTGATTAAGACTCCAAGCTTTCACTACAGGGGACATCGGTTTGATCCTTGGTTGCAGAAATGACATTTCACAACCGAGATCCAGTATGCTTCCAGGTGTGGCCAAAAAACCAAACAACAAGAAACTACTTGGTTTGTAGCTAAAATATATTGGCTTAAGAAAGGTGAGATGGGGCAGCTTTAACGAGTGATACAGGTTGAGGTGGTTTTTTTTTTTTTTAATTGCCAGTTAGATAAAATCAGGGATGTGATGAAGGAAACATTCCAGTTATGCGGAAAGTCTCCCAAAGAGATGACTTTGATAAACTTTATTTTAATCTGATTTCTCTGCATCTTTTTTCCTTTACTATAGATTTGCTACTCGGATATCTTAGGAAAAGGATGCCAAGTCATTTTGTTGAAACATTAATACAGGAACAGGACCACTTAAGAAAAAATTGCTAACGTAAACCCAGTTCTACAAATATTGAGTCTTTTCTATGCTAGGCATTTCTGGAAAACAAACATGAATAACACATATCTTTTTTATGTCAGTGTTGAAGGAATTATTGGAGTGTACACAGACTACCACTGGATCACATAGAAGGGAGAGTAATTCTACTCATGAAATATGACTTTTTTTTATTGGAGAAGCTTGTCAGAAGGGAGACTTATTCAACAGTTTTCACAGAAAAAACAATCACTGCAGAAGACAAATGGTTTAAAATACAGTCGATTAAGTCACTAGGCACTACTCAAGACCAATTACCTTTGTGGAAGTCAGAAACTTTTTAACGTTAAATAAATCAAGATACTTTATTAAAAAATTAATCCTGAAGACAATCACACCACTTCGGGCTGAGAGCAGCAACTTTTTAAATGGTGGATAGCACCATTATTCTTGTTTTTCACCCCAGAAAATATTTTACAGATTACTCTTATTGCAGCAAAAATAATGTTTGCTGAGTGAAATCACAAGATGTTGCTTACATATTCAACACAGAATGTAGAGAATAATTGCAATTGAAAGACTGATTTCTTTTATAAAAAATATTATGCAGGAAGCTAAGGAGCAAGGCTTGGTCAGAGATGGTCAGATATTTTCAGCAAAACCCCAGTTTCTTTCACCCAGTATTCTTTCGGGTATTAAAGAAAAACCTCAGATAAAAAAGGCGACCATGTGCCTTAGGGTATTTTTATGGGAGGGGTAATGATGAACCTAAAGTCATTGCCTAGGAGGTGCGAACGTTGTGGACCACGGCCTCCCAGCCCCGAGCACCTGACGGCTACGCCCATACCATGTCCCGCCCCTCGGCCCCGCCCACCTCGGCTCAGGGTCACGGGGGCCAGCGCCGTAAAGAGGCTCCGCCCCGCGGACACCTCTGTCCCCGGACCCAAGGGGTGTTGTCAGGGGCGGTCCCGGAAGTGACGCAGGGACGCGCCCTCCATTTTGTGGGACGCCAGAGCAGCTAAGTGCGTCAGTTGTGGAGAGACGTAGACGAGTTGAGTCCTGGTCTGCGGGGAGGCGGCCGGCTCTATCGCAGACTACGGACCTCTCTGGGTCTCAGCTGCCAAAGATCCTGTCCGGTAGGTGAGTGGCTCACTTTGAGGGAAAGGCTTCTCGGATCGAGGCTTCTTCATGGCCGCTCAGATCGCGAGTGGTCAGGGCTGCTCTCTGTGCGGAGGACGGCGTCCAATGAGCGCAGTTTATTCGAGGTGGGCGCTGGGGCACGTCTCCCTTTGGGTATTGTGTGAGGGGACCTGAAGGTGGAAGGGCGGTCCTGGGCAGGGTCGTTTTTACAGAGGGGTCATGCGCCCCTCCCTGCCTTTTTGTTTCACTGTCTGAACCCCGGGAGTAGTGGGCCGAGACCTTTGCTCGGGGTGTGGTCGGGGCTGTCCCAGGGTGGGCACAGTGATCCGGAGCGGTGGGGTCGGGAGAGCGGGAGGGAACGGGGGGGTTTGGCACGCGCGGTTCTCCCCACCGCCGGCTCCGAGGCCGCCATTTTGTGGCTGCTCCGCGGCCACCCGCCGCCGTCTGCGCAGGCGCGGCGGTGGCGTCGCGAGATTCCGGCTTCCACCCGCTGTGACGCTCCCGGGAGGCGGCGACGCGCGTGCAGCCCGTCGCCATTGGGCTGGCCTTGCGGAGGGCGGGGTCGGCTCCGCCCGCACTTCTCGGCCTTTCCTAACTGCGGCAGATGGGAGGGGGCCAGAAGAGCCGGGGAGAGTGTGCGGCTGCGCAGTTCCAGAGGCGGCAGTGGGCGTTGCGGTTGCTGCGGTCTGGGCCCAGGGAAGGATCGTGTTGGGAGCCGAGTTTTAATTTTGTCTGCAAGGGACCCGGCCTAATAAGAGGCACTCTTGGCAATCTTGTTTATAACATCACCGGGTAAACATTTTATTTTATGCTGTTTATGTTTTTGGTCCCTTGACCAGGCATTCCTCTGACATTCACTGGTACTATCTCAATTGAATTTATTTCCTGACAGAAAGTACTAGCCGGACATGAGTGGCTGTCGAGTATTCATCGGGAGGCTAAATCCGGCGGCCAGGGAGAAAGACGTGGAAAGATTCTTCAAGGGGTATGGACGAATAAGAGATATTGATCTGAAAAGAGGCTTTGGTTTTGTGGTAAGTGTTTAGAATTGGTTGAATTATCTATTGTTAGTGGGTAAAGATTGTTAGAAGCAGTGCTTTTAAGTTTTTTGAGTCCCAGCAGAGTATGTTTGGGAAATATGCATTCTTAAGGTAGTGAATTTTCTTAACGGAGAAACGAATTTCACTCCTGGCTGGAGAAATCATTTCCGGTCCCTTTTTGATTAGGCTTATCTATATGCTGTTGTCATTAAGATACTCTTTCACAGGTATTGAGTGGTTTTAATGTGTTGCAGAATAGACTTTTAAAGCAATGTTAGGCATTATATATATCTGTGTGTGTTTTAGGAATTTGAAGATCCCAGGGATGCGGATGATGCTGTATATGAACTTGATGGAAAAGAACTCTGCAGTGAAAGGTGATAATTTTATTTTTAGTTTTATGACTTAGCACTCTGAAGATAAGCTAGGTATTGGGCTAGATATTTTTTGTAAATGGATCTTTTATGTAGCTTAAAGTGGATAATGAAGATTTTTCTTCCTTTCCTGTAGGGTTACAATTGAGCATGCTAGGGCTCGATCTCGAGGTGGAAGAGGTAGAGGACGCTACTCAGACCGTTTTAGTAGTCGCAGACCTCGAAATGATAGACGGTATGTGATTAATGGTGGATGGCTGCTTTGAACAAGCATTACTGTAGGAGGAATCTTGATGTTCTAAAGTTAGCAGAAGTGATTTTGCTGTATATGTATAATCAATTTTGTCATTCATGTATTAGTCTACTGTTTCTAATAAGATTGAGTCATAAAATAATGCAGAAACTGTTGGTGGAAGTCAGTTGAATGACTTGTCGTACCTGATTGCTTGAACTTGCCCACAACTGAACACACTAGGTGCACGTTGCTGCATTTCTTCCATTGTGAGTACTCATTTTCTTCCTCAGAAATGCTCCACCTGTAAGAACAGAAAATCGGCTTATAGTTGAGAATTTATCTTCAAGAGTCAGCTGGCAGGTTTGTTGAAACACAGTTTTGAGATATTTTGATGTGGTTTTTTAAATATTAGTGGGTAGTTAATGTTTTTATTAATGTTTTATTAAAAGTAGTTTTATCTGTAATGGACTTTTAATTGTAATTTTAAAATTTTAATTAAATGTAATTGGGGGATATTTCAAATTTTAATGTTAGTGATCAAATGTAAATGTTTTGAGGATATATTTTCTTGTTTTTAAAAATCAATTTTAACCAAATATTAAACCCTTTATTTGCCAGCCTATCTGTGTCGTTGGCCTTATGACGAGGAGTGCCTGTGGGTTATCCTAATCGTTGTCTTGGTCACTCTTGGTTGGGCCTGGTTGACTTTGCCAGTCAGCTCCTACAGTGATCAATTGGCCACCTCTAGATCTGTGTTTGCCGGTCTAGACGTAATCGGTGCACTTCTTGAAGTGCCAGGTTGCAGCGATCCCAGAGCGCTGATAACGTGATCTGATCCCTAAGTTGAGAGCTGTCTTCCTGTAACGCTTCCGAATAAGAGGTCCTGGTCGAAAAGAGTTGAAAGATTCGAAATTAGGTGGTCGTTGGAATCCTGATCGCAGTAAAGTGGTCCTTGGTAACTACACAAGAGTAGAACCTGTCTGCATCCGCCTAGTCTGCTAATAGGGAGGGCTGTGCGATTAAAGGCTTCCATCGATTGGGTAGTGTCCTTCAAGTGGGTGGCGAAGAGCCAGTCGGGCATATGTCATGAAGGTTTCTCCGACCGATAAATGGTTTGCTGCTTGACTAGCCTAGGGAAATAATAATAAAGGTAAAGTAAACTTTTTTAATGACATATGGGGCACAAAATAACTGGTGTCTTGTAAATGTAAATGTTCTGTTTTTAAATATAAAATTTCTACTTTAGTCTTTACTTTAAAAATATGTATTGTTTCTTTTTGTTTTTTTGTTTGTTTTGTTTTGTTTTTTTCCCTTTTGTATTGAGCTCAGTATAGACTAATACTACTTTAATGTTAAAATCTAAACTTACCTTTGGCATTTTGCTTAAAAGCAATATGCTATTTGCTTATTTCGTGCCCTGACATATATTATTTTAAAATTCTGATAGACTACAAGTGTGGTAAATACCATGTTTGTACTTTATCTAACATCTTCTCTTTCAGTAGTCTTGTTTTTATACAATGTGGTTGTTTGTGTGTCACGTTTCCTTTTCTTTGCTTAACTCACTTATCTTGTGTTAAGGATCTCAAAGATTTCATGAGACAAGCTGGGGAAGTAACCTTTGCGGATGCACATCGACCTAAATTAAATGAGGGGTGAGTATGTTTTTGCGTACGAGAGCCTTTTAAAATGTTCTGAAAGTTGTACTGTGAATGTTAGAGGTCTCAAAATTTGGACATGCTGAAATGTAGCGGTTCTCAATCAGGGTTGAATTTGCTTTTCAGGGTACATGTGGCAGTGTCTGGAGACATTTTGGTTGTTAGAATTGAGGTTACTACTTGCATCTTATGGGTAGAGGTCATGTTGTTCAGTCACTTAAGTCATGTCTGGCTCTCTGCAACCCTAAAAACTGCAGTACGCCAGACTTCCCTTTCCTTCGCTGTCTTCCACAGTTTGCTCATATTCAATGTCCATTGAGTCTGTGATGCCATCCAACCATCTCCTCTCATCATCTCCTCCTTTTGCCTGCAGTCTTTCCCAGCTTCAGGGTCTTTCCTAGTGAGTCAGCTTGTCGAATCAAATGGCTAAAGTAGAGGTCAGAGATGTTATTGATCTTCCTGTAGTGCACAGGAAAGCTCCTCACTCCCATTGAATTATGTGCCTTAAAATGTCCACGGTTTGGAGGTTGAGGTATCCTGTTTAATAATAGCAATAGTAAAACGAACATTAAAAAGTAAGTAAACTAGACTGATAATGGTTTGTGAGATGATAAGAAGTATGTAACTTTACAAATAGTATATTTTTTCTTTGTAGGGTAGTTGAGTTTGCCTCTTATGGTGACTTAAAGAATGCTATTGAAAAACTTTCTGGAAAAGAAATAAATGGGAGAAAAATCAAATTAATTGAAGGCAGCAAAAGGCACAGGTATCTCTAATATTTTTAAGTCACAGTTTTATTTAAGGGATTTGTGGGGCCTGCTACTTAGTTTTGTTTTGTGTTTTTTTTTTCTTTCTAGTAGGTCACGAAGCAGGTCTCGTTCCCGTACTAGGAGTTCCTCGAGGTCTCGTAGCCGATCTCGTTCTCGGAGTCGCAAGTCTTACAGCCGGTCCAGGAGCCGGAGTCGGAGCCGGAGCAAGTCTCGTTCTGTTAGTAGGTCTCCTGTGCCTGAGAAGAGCCAGAAACGTGGTTCTTCAAGTAGATCTAAGTCTCCAGCATCTGTGGATCGCCAGAGGTCCCGGTCCCGGTCCCGGTCCCGGTCAAGGTCCAGATCAGTTGACAGTGGCAATTAAACTGTAAATAACTTGCCCTAGGGGCCTTTTTTTTTAAAAAAAAATTCCCAAACCATACTTGCTAAAAATTCTGGTAAGTATGTGCTTTTCTGTGGGGTGGGATTTGGAGGGGGGTGGGTTGGGCTGGATATCTTTGTAGATGTGGACCACCAGGGGTTGTTGCAAACCAGTTGTATTAAATGTCTTTTGATAAGCCTTCTGCTCACATTTTTGTGAATGTCTGAAGTATATAGTTTGTGTATATTGACAGAGCTCTTTTATTACTAAAGCAAATTTAATTTTTTGTACTAGAAAAATTTTGAACGTTTTAGTTCCTGGTTATTCAGATAATGTTAATGCGAAATTAGTTTAATGCCTCAATTAAACTAATTAATAGCTTTGGACAGTTAAAAGAGCTCTTAATTTGCTTGTACATAAAGGCTTATTTGAGTTTTCCTTGTTAGGGTTAAGGGTGTCCACCCACCTACCCTTTAACAGCTGTCTGGCAGAGACGTTAAGACAGCTGTTTGTTATTGATAATAAAAGGTTATAAAACTGCATTTGTGTGTTTGTCTGAAGGAAGTATGGCTGCCTACTTCTCCTTCCCCATGCACTTTAGATACATTTAAAATCCCTCATCAGGAATGCTGTAGCAGTGAGGTAGGTGTGTGTGTCCTAGTCATGTCCAACTCTTTGAGACTCTATGGACTGTAGCCTGCCAGTCTCCTTTCTCCATGGAATTTTCCAGTCAAGAATACTGGAGTGGGTTGCCACGCCCCCCTTCAGGGGAATCTTCTTGATCCAAGAATCCAGCCCACACAGCTCTTATGTCTTCTGCATTGTCATGTGGATTCTTTACCACTAATGCCACCTGAGAAGCCACCTTAGTGAGGTATGGTAAGCCTTTTTTTTGTTTGGTTTTAAATTAGTACCTTTGACATTTCCAGGCTAGTCAAAAGATGGATGAAGTGTGAAGTATTGAAAGTAAATGATGACTTAGTTTTTTATGACGGTTTCCCTTGTGTGTTGACCCTACCTGATTTTGGCATCAGGTTACTTAGGTTTCCATAGCCAAGAGAGGGACAGTTTGGGAAGCAGATTGTAAAAGTTAATAATTCATGCCTAACTTAAAGGTTGTAAAACGATTTTGATGGTCCAAGATCATTCCTTAAAACTTAAAAATAACTGCATGTGCTTAAAAATAACTGCATGTGCTTTAAGAGGCTTTCGCACATGCATTTTCTTCATAGTCCTCAGACATGGGTGTAACAATCTATTGAAGGGAAAACAGTTGGCAGTGAAACTGCTTAAGGTTCTACATCCACCTCTATTAAATGTTAGAGTCCTATTATCTGTAGGAAATTAGTTTCATTGTTTCTTCTAGCAATATCTCAGACTCTTTGAATGCTAGTCAAGATAAATACTTGTTAAAATAACTGAGTAACACTTAATAGCTCTGTTCTTTGGGTATGTAATGTCACTGAGTCCTAAACCACTTAACTATTAACATGTAGTATTTATATATATGTATGTATAATTTTATTTTTTGATAGAAAATTTTCCAGGAGAGCCAGGGCCTGGAACAAGTAAATGGTAGATTGGTATTAGAACCCTGGAAGTCTAGTTCCAGAACCCCAAAACCATATTTACCTGCCCTAGCCTTTCAGGGGTTTTGAGGCAAGCAGAATTGGCAGCACTAGGAACAGATTGGGCTTCCCCAGAGAATGGCATTTGATAGTGGGCATCGGTATTAGCAGGGAGTGCATTTGACAATTCTTGGTATAAAAGCTTTCCTGTGTTCAAGACTATAGAACTTAGGCCATAAAATTGTGAAGCTGATCACAATTCTTGGGAGAGTTTGTGTGGTATACTTGTTGATTCACTTGAATGTGGGGCATTTTCTGGTTACCTCTGTGGGAAACCTAGGTTTTTTTTCTGTATAGTGTATCTGAAGGGTGTACAGTTCAGCTGGAAGTTGCTGATTGTCAGGTGGAGAGGTGTGGTTATTTTCCCCCTTAGATTTTTTAGATATGGTAACTCAGAAGGGCTTGCTGTATGTACTTGGATGTTTTACCAGTGACTTTTCACCTCTATCATTAAATATGTAGTATCAGTGGCTTACCACTCTTAATAGGATAAAGCACTTTCTTTAAACTAATGGCAGAGATGACTAAGTTATTTTGAATTGATAAGTTGGCCTGAATTCCCAGATACAGAACATCAGAAGTTATAAGTGTGGCTGTAATCCTAAGCAAAGTTTTAGGACCAGGTTTTAACAGTTAGTTTCTCAGTTGTGTCCAACTGCAGGTTTTGTGTGGTGTGATGTAGTTTTTTTTTTTTTTTTTTTTTTTGCTGTGCGGTGAGGCATAAGAATCTTTGTTCTCAGACAGGGATTGAATCCCTGCCCCCTGCTGTGGAAGCGTGAAGTCCTACTAATCACTGGACCACCAGGGAACTCCTTGTAATTACTTTTCTATATATAGTTGGCTCATGAACAATGCAGGTTTGATTGGCATGGGCCTGCTTATATACAGACTTTCAATAAATATCTGTTGCTTTATTACACGGTCCATGGTTGGTTGAATCATTTGATAGGGAATCTCAGATACAGAGAACTGACTAAATTATACTCGAATTTTCAGCAACATTGGAGATTGGCTATTCAGGGTTCAGCTTGGTCTTCTAAGGGAAATTTGAGTGTAATATATCTCAAGTTCAGCCATACTTTACTCTTAATTGTTCTGCCTAACCAGGTCTAGTAGATGATGTCAGCTAGATATGAGAGAAAACAATTTGAACAGATAAGTAAATGTAGGTAAAATGTAAGGTTGATAGGTGGCAGATACCTTTACAATTTTTAAAAAAACATTTTAAAAAAAGCATTTTTAAGAGGTGGTTAGTGACCCAAGTTGGTGTTCTGTTGGGAGTAGTGATAGTTCTGGACATTTGCCAGATGGATGCCAAGTTTACTTGCCTTGGTTTCCAATTGTACTTCACATTAAGGGATATGAAATTCACAAGGAACCTAGGTATGGTCAGCTGTTTGCAAGTCTTTTTATTTGTTAATCTTTGACTTAATGTGCCTGTGTGTGTGTTTGCCTATGAGCAGTATGGAAAATGTCTAAATTTCATTGGGAAAAATTGGTAATTTAAGAATTTCAGTTACTTGAAAGTTAGCAGTCATTAATTTTGGCAGTAGTTTACTCCCAATTTTAAATTTGAGCATAATGTGAAAACTACTGATACCTAAAGAACCGATGGGGTGGATTATTAGATTAGTGAAATTATTCTCTTGGTATTTATACTTCTCCATGCTTTTTTTTTTTAAGTTGTCTTCCAGAATTGTGTTCTCCAAAATGTCCTTTCATCTCAATGTGGTTTTGAGTTTGTCTTAGCCAGTTGGTGTCATGTTCTCAGTAGTTTTGGTGCCAGTGATGTTAAAGGGGAAAGAATGGGATCTAAATTTTTCTAAATCTAAAGGTTAGAAATGACTTCTGAAGTCTACTAATCCTACAATACTCTGAGCATCTTCTTTCTGTTTTGGGTCACAAAACTGGGAACAGAATTTGGATATTCGATTCTAGAGTGAAAGCCCATTTATTGACTAGCTCAGAAGTTGCTTTTGTATGCCTAGGCACTGTTCTAGGGCTTTAAAGGCAGTTTTGGTGCCTGCCTTCGTAGGGCTATCCTTGAATAAGTCTTTTATTTTTTAAACAGGTATCAAGTCCTGAACTGAGGATAGGTAAGCCTTGTGGGGTGGACTCCCATCTTGTTCTCCATGCAAGGCTTAATGATTCTGATAGTTTATGCTGGAAATGCTGGAGAAAGACGTAAGAACACCACAGGTGGTTCCTTTCTGCTCTCTGTTCAATTTGCCACGTTGAGTTGCTCAGTTGCCTTCTGACCAGAATCCAAGTCTTTGGGGAAGGCTGAAGTAAACCCAACATTACACTCCTCCCCTTTGTAGGTGCCATTTCCCAGAGCTGTTGAGAGGGTTTCTTCAGTTGCATCAACTTTGTAGGTCATTTTTGTGTTATCTGTAAAGTTGAAAAAAGGGTCATGGGTTAGGAAGAACAATAGAGTGATTAAAACCTTGTCTGTCTGGGGGATAATATCAACTTACCCTTAGGGTGTGCTATGTGTTTTTCTCTTATCTCTTGACCACCTCTTTCCCCATGACTTAGTCAAACTGAGGAAAAATTAGGTTTCCCCTCACAACTATAATGATAATACTGGTAACAAAAGGTCTAATAAGGAGCGCTAAGGTCTAAATGGCACCGACTCTTCATCACTTCATGTCTATCATCTTAGTACAAGTGGTACAGTTGGGGAGTTGAGTTCATGTAAGCAGTGGTTGACTTGCATTCTGGGAGCCAGTGGGGTCAGGGAGCAAAGTGCTGTACGTGGGAAGTCTTCCCAGAGGTGTTTCCATACCCCTGTTGTGGTGTTGGGTTTACTTCTGCCTACATGGTGGTAGCGAGGAGATATACTTAGGGTTCACTTTTCCCATTTTCCCATCTTTCTAGAAGGATACAAGGGTCCAAAGCACAAAAACTGACAGATCCTTAAACTTGAACACTACTTGGGCCCAGACAGTATGTGAGATGAGTAATTTTCACTTAGTTTTCTTACAAGGATCTTCCTACATACATTGATTTCTAGAGCCAGAGGCTGTAGAATATGGCCTCTTGGCATTTCAGCCCTTTCTGGTACTAAACTGCAAGCCTGGGGATCTGGAATTTTTTTAAGAGGGTGGAATCTTGAATGGTAACATAACCTTGAGTTGTTCTTAGAGCAGTATCAGACTGCATACTTATCCACAGCTCTAGTTTTCAAGCAGAGCTTAGTAAAAGTGGTTCGTAAGTAATGATCAGTTATTTATTGGTTTCTTTTTGGCTGCTTGATAACCAAGATTACATCTTTTAAGTTACAGTAAGTCTTCATTTGCCTACTATAAGATAAATTCCACCAGGGTAAGTTGTATCTTTCTCCCAGGGTGTGAATCAGTTTCTCTGGGCCTTGAAGAGGTCTTCAAGACATCCTCAAGTTCATGGGAAGTTGAGTCAGTTGAAGAATGAGTGGTTAAGATGAATATACTAATGTTTAGAGTTACAAAGTACTGAAATATGTTAGCAAATGAGATTGAGTTTTCTGGGTTTGAAGAAAGATACTGAAAAAAAAGGGATACATTTGATGTTCACTTTGAGGAAAGGAGTCAGTGGGCTTTCTTGAAGTTTGTATCTTGAAGAGAATGAATACTCTTCAGCATCCTAAAAAAGATGCTATTGGCTAGGAATTTGTTAATCCAGTAGTAATTACATTAAATCTAGATTAATACTTGCCTTTTCGTTACTGTGTAACCAGATTTGGGATCCTCATTTTTTGATTCTGGTTTATTAGACTGCATTGCTTTCATGTTTTCCCTCCTAAAGCAGTGCCAGTGGTGCTGGGGCTCTGACCTGGTTTCATGGCTTGAGAACCTACTCTTAACACAGAATCTTACTGATCTCTCAACCATGTAGTGCTTAAGACAGTTCTGTCCGATTCATCCTAAATCCTGCATGGTCTCCCCAGTTAAAGCAGCCCAAGTCACCCCTGTTCCATGAGGCAAAGTCCATAGCTTACTCTCCCAGCAAAAATGAGATGCACTTATGGGTAGTTTTGGTTCTTTGAAATTCTTTCCTGCACATTGGTGCTGTCTGGTTCCTAATAATTTTATGGGTTACAGCCCCTCTTGAAAGATCCTTGCCAGAGTTGCTGGCAAAGTCATGTCCCAAGTGAGAGCAGAGCTCAAAGGGGAATGATTCAGTACTTACCTCTGGAAGGCTTGAATTTCTCATAGCACCTAAAGATGGCGACAAGGAGAAGCCCTTCTCCAACCTGGAAAATCATGTACAGGAGAGGGAAGAAGAAAAGTGGTCCGATGACTTCAGGGGGGAAGGTCACGTTGAGGATGGTGGAGCAGAGTTGAATATTTTGGCATCCAGTCTCCATGCTGACAGTGCGTTTGCAACTGTGTTGATTAAAAAACAACCAGATGCCTTCAGAGAAGGGACGTAAGGGTGCAACTTCACTTGCTCATCTTTCTCCCAAATACTTTCTAAGAGAGACTGACAGTCCAACACAGAAAGATGGAACTGAACCACATGTGGCATGCACCAGGTTTTGAGAAAAGTCAAATTGACCCGTCTCTTGGATCACTAGTCCAGCCTTGTAGAAGATGGTGACTAGTAGGTCCGTGTTGGGGAGTTTTTAATGAGGGAGTTTTTGATTAGCTTAGAAATCTAGTTTGTCACTTGTGAAATTACCGAAATGAATTTTGGAGAAAATGTCTGGCTATAGGGAGAAAAGATACGAGCCAGTATCATTCATTGGCACATGGTGAGTTACATATAGGACAGTTAGGATTTCAGCGTAAAGGAGAAGATTGTCTAAATGTCTAGGAACCTTGTCTTGTGGTCCGATTTCTGGCTTAGATGTCTTCAAAACACAACTGAAAGTTTGGTTCCATTATCTGCCTTTAGAACACATTCTCTTTTGCTTTATATTTTATGGGCTATGGGCTAAAGAATGTACTGTTATATTTAATGCAACATTTTATTCGCTGAATTGCAATTAGTGATTAAAATAGTTGTTTGCTAAAAAGTCGTTAGCACTGTCTCCGCACATTTATTACAGAGTTGCCACCCCAAGGTGGTGTGTTACAGCTACCTAGACAGAAAAGGAGGCAAAGGGGAAGGGATCCTTTTCCTCATCAAGGCTTGTCATGAAGACATGGGGCTACTCTGCTGCCGTTTGGTACCAGGGAGTTGGGCAGGTGGTGGAATCTAGGCTCTGCTAGGGAGCACTTGATGAACTGTTCCTCTTTGCATGATTAGATACCTTTGGGTTTTGTTTCTCTACCTGTGTTATTCATCCAGTACCTTGCCTCCCCACTATTTAGTCCAAATTTCCTTGTTCGGTTTTTGCATTTGAATATATTGCTTAAAAATTACCTTCCCCAGATTTTGGGTATTTTTTCTGAGAGGTGTGGGACAGTGGAACTAAAACAACGATACCTACCGTCCGTTGAGGCAGAAAAGTGCAGAGAGAAGGTAGCCTAGCAGGAAGCCGATGAAAGGCATCAAGGAGGAGGTGGCCAGCAAGTGTGGTGTCATGACAAACAAGATGCTCTTGCCCACGTTGAGGGCAGAGAGCACTACAACAGCCACACTGCACAAAAGCAGGAGGATGATCCCTCCCTGCGAATAAGGACAAGAAGAAAAGGCAGTTAGAAGGGTGTGGGGATATGGAGGAGCACAGAGGGCTAGGGAAGCACTGGTGGATACCAAAGGTGGGACACATTTTAATAGATGAAGGGAATATACAAGACCTTTATCATTATCTTGGATTTCTTATCTGTAGCTGGGCAGCTTCCTAGAAGTCATAAATCTGATTACCACCTTACTGAAAACTCAGCCAGACAGAGTTTCTGATAGACATCTCTGGGTAGTAGGTTTTCAGTGAAGTGCTGTGACTCTGAAGGATGAGACTATTCAGCCCTCTGGCAATGTGGGTATTGTAAATGAAAGTTCTCTTTACACACCCAACAATACTTTGGATGCTCTGGATATTTTGGAATTCAGTAGCAGTTGTTCTTAGAACCTATCAAGCTTGTCCTAAATACCTCCTTTATGGGTAGGGACTTTATCTATTTTGGGATGAATCTGATTTCTGGAAGTTGCTAAAAGTCATTTGAAGCAAAGCTGGTTAAAGCAGGTAATGAAGTCAGATAATGTGTTTTAGATCTAAATGATGTATAGGGATGAGTGCTTTTCTTGAGTGATATGCAAATTGGGATGATAGGAAAGTTCCTAAAAGGAGTTTCAAATAGCTCAGGTAATAACGGCATCTTTAGGAACAATGCAGGTCCACCCTACCCCAGGTAAGAGCTGTGAAAGCAACTGTCATCAGGAACAACGGTATGTTTTTGTTTATTTTAAAATGTATGATTTTATAGTTGGATCTTACATACCACTTAGAATTTTCAATAGGTAATTTATTATGAAATTAGAATATTAAGGATTTTTCCTACTGACAAGGATTCAAGGTTTCAAAGTGTGCTTACATGTCTGCATTTTAGAGAGTGACATCTAAACTGATGAAATACATGCATAGACTTAAGCTGTGTCCCTCTCATCCTCTGAGATGTGGTGTTTAGTCACTAACTTATGTCCTAGTCTTCGCAACCCCATGGCCTGTAACCACCAGGCTCCTCTGTCCATGGGATGTCCCAGGCAAGAATATTGGAGTGGGTTGCCATTTCCTTCTCTGGACGATCTTCCTGACCCAGGGATCGAACCCTCATCTGCACTGGCAGGTGGATTCTTTACCACTGAGCCACCAGGGAAGCCCCAGCTTCTTAGTAAAAGTGTGTGCAGCAAACTTTCCTTGAACTTACTGTGTTCTGTAATGGTTATGTTATGGTTCCATTTCCAGCTCATTTCACACTTGTGTTGTATTTCCTAATGCGATTTTTAAAAAAATTGTGGTAAAATATGTAGAACACAAAAGTTGCCCATTTTAACCATTTTTGAGTGTATAATTCAGTGACATTAATTACATTCGCAGTGTTGTCCTAGTGACAATTTAATGTTTGTTTATATTGCTCTAATTGCAAGTGCGCAGTTATTTCAGCCTATTTCTAAAGCATGTTGCAACTGATTACTGTTGGTGGTTCTGTCCCAGGATAGAAAGGAATCCAGTAACAACATGCTTCAAGCTTTATTGAGAGCCTATTAACTGATACAACTGACAGGGAAGCCTGGCATGCTGCGGTCCATGGGGTTGCAAGAAGTCGAACATGACTGAGTGACTGAACAACAAAAACTAACTGATTAACTGCTTAGTTACCCTTGGGTTTTGAGTTAATTTCTCCATTTGGATTTTTGCCTCTTGGGTTTGTCCTCTACCTGATGTCCATATTTTGTTCTGAAGAGTGTAATGAAGAATGTAGGCGGTATTGGGCTACAAGGATTGTCCGTGAATCCAGAAGCCCTCTTTCTCTGTGTGGGTGTTAATCTCAAGCCCTCATTCTCATTCTCCCACTCTTGGGGCCTTTAGAGTGGTGGTGAGCCCAGCTGTCCTCAAGATGTGTAAACTGGTGAGTCCTTCAGCCTTTTGAGTTAGGTTGACAGCACAGCACCTGGCATCTTAGAACCACTGACTGAGTTGTAGCTTGTAGGGAAAGGAGAGGAGTTTAACATCCCAGAGTTTGTTGTCACTCTCAGTCCTGCCATTTGTGAAAATCTCATGTCCGTGAACTCTTGCTAAGAAGAGAGGCCACAGTAGTTTTGTCATAGGTCCCCGTGTTTTCTATCACCTGCATTGCCCTGTCCTTGCTGACTAAAGCTGTTATGAGTGTCTGTCCACTCATGGACAGCCAGCTCAGCTTGCCAGTGATTCATGAGATAACTGGCCTAACTCCTCCCATGCAGGTGACCTGGTTGGTGAATGACCCCACGAGGAAACCCTTCCTGCCATTTAGAGAGTTTGTAGAGTTACAGAGACGGGGAGGCAAGAGCAGAGACAAGTGTGAAAAAACTCCTGCATGGGTGAGTTACAGTATTGCTTGAATCGCCTTTCCAAATGGTGAAAGTGTTAGTTGCTCAGTCGTGTCCGACTCTTTGTGACCCCCTGTAGCCTGCCAGTCTCCTCTGTTCATGGGATCTTCCAGGCAAGAATACTGGAGTGGGTTGCTAGTTACTTCTCCAGGGGATCTTCCAGACCCAGGGATCAGACCTAGGTCTCCCATGTTGCAGGCAGATGTTTTACCATCTGGGCAACCAGGGAAGCCCAAATGGGGCATCCTTAAAATTGTATCTTGGTGTGTCTAAATGTGACCTGTCACTAAGGAATGCAACTAGTTGAGCAGAGTTGGAACAGATACCTTCTATCAGAGCCAGTTATCAGAAGTTGGGTGATTTTGATTTGAAAGTCTCTAGGAGTGTTTGGTGTGCAAAGAAGCTGGGACAGTTGTTCCAGCTTGTAACTCACTACATTAGGAAATGGAGAGATTAAGAATGAGCATAGTCCTCAATCGTAAAAGCAAGAAAACTTCAGGCTTTACATCTTGGCCACTTTTCTCTGCAACCTCACAGGCTTGATACCCTGTTTGGGAGCAATTGATAAAGGGTGCTGTTGCCCTTCTGCTTGTCTAACCTTGGAAGTTTGGCCAGCGGCAAAGCAGGTCCCAAGATACATTTTATGTGATTCTTTGTTACTGGTTCCTGTCTTTCCAGTCCAAGTGTATCTCGGACCTTTTAATGTCCTCTGGGATCATTTGCTGTAGAATTGAGTCATGGATGTGTAACAAAATAGAAATGAGAGACATTCCCTGGGCCTCAGTTATTCTATATATAAAATGGAAATAAGGCAAGAGACTACTTCATCTTGAAGCCCTCTCTAGCTTTAAGATCTGAGATTCTTTTTTCCATCCTCAGAACACTTAAAAAAAAAACTGAAGTGTACTTGATTTACAGTGTTGCGTTAATTTCTGCCATAGAGCAAAGTGACTCAGATGAATTTCATATTCTTTTATGTTTTATCACAGGATATTGAATATAGTTCACTATGCTATATAGTAGGCCTTGTCCATCCATTCTATATATGATAGCTTACTAATCCTAACCCCAGTTCCATCCCTTCTCTACTACCCCTCTCTCTCTTGGCAACCACAAGTCTGTTCTCTATGTCTGTGAGTCTGTTTCTGTTTCAGTTAAGTTCGTTCATGTCATATTTTGGATTTCACATATAAGTGATATCTTAAACAGTATTTGTCGTTCTCAGAAGAATACTTAGATCAGGAAACATGTTCTTATATCAGTTGCTTTTGGGGTTCTAGTCTCTGGTTTCACCTATAAAGTGCAGGAGGGCAGAGTTGCTTTAAGTGATACCACGGGTCATTTCACACTTTTATCTTTGATATATATATATGTATTTTTTTGTTCTACATTCCACAAGTTCTTCAGTAAGTGAGATGATAGGTTCATGTTTCTGGTTTTTTGTTTTTCTCCTAATGTGTAGGAGAGACAGGATTTGTCCTTTATTCCTTTGTTTATTCTCAGGCATTAGATGTGAGTGTTGAGAATTCAGTGTTAAGACACAGCCTTAGGATCTTATTTCTTGCAGGTGGGTGGAGAATAAAAACGAGTGGTAATTATAATACAGTACGATAAATGCTGCAAGGATTTGGGTGATAAGGGAGCAAATAGGACACACTTTCTGTCCAAGTTTGTGGGTTAAGAACAACTTCTAGAGGAGGTGCTAATTGTGTTGAGACTTGAAGGATGTGACCAATGAAAGGTGTTGAGGGAGGTGGGAATTTGGAGGGAGGAGGATTCCAGGCAGAGGGAAGGGCATGTGCAAAGAGAAGAGCTGACACTGGAGAGGTTGGTTGAGACCAAATCAAGAAAGGGCTGAGGAGCCTCATGACTCCTGGGGGAGAATAAGGAACCAGTGAGGGACTTTAAGCAGTAGAGTGACCTGATAGTTTGTTCTTTCCAGACTCGGGTTAAAATTAGGTAAGGGAACCAGGTTGGAAGTCTGAGTAGCTTAGTGAGAGAGGAGAGTGACCTGGATGAAGACAGTGAATGCAGGGATGGAGAGACATGGACTCAAGCAAAAGAAGGCAGAACTGGCAATAGGTGATTAGTGTGGGTGGGGAGGGGGAGAGGACGTGGAGAATGGCTTTCTGGTTTCTGACTCAGGCAGTTGGGCACATTAAATGCCATTCATTGAGATGATCACACAGGGAGGAGGGAAGAGCAAGCTTGAGGAAATCGTTTAAATTTAAAACATACTGAGTTTTAAACGCCAGAGGCATATTCAGTAGAAAGATTTGCTAGTTAATACATGGATTCTGGAGTCAGGAGAGATATGAGAGCTGAAGATACTGTTCTGGTGGTCATCAGCTTGTAGATGGCTGTTGAGATGGGCCAGATCTCGTGGTGGGAAGGTCTCGGGCTTAGGTAAGAAAAGCAGAAAGCTTGGGCTGAATGCAGAGAAGTAATCTTTGCCAGAGGAACTCACAAGGGAGTTAGAAAAGAAATGCCAGAGAGGTGGTAGGAAAGCAGGTGCCCTGTCACTGAAGCTGAGGAGAAAGATTTCTGAGATGGAGGCAGTGGTCAGCCATACCAAAAGCTGCTAAAAGAACAGCTGAGACATGTCTGTTGGATTTGGTGAAGAAAGTGGAGTCAGGTGGTCCTCAAAATGTGAGTGGATGGGAGACTGAGGAGTAGACATTGATTGATGAGGGTGGTCACTGGAGAACAGCCCTGGGGGCAATGTGGTGGGAGTGGAAGGTAGGTGGGGGCAATGGGTGTCTCTTGGGAGCACAGCTAGGAAGGGGAGGAAAGACAGGTGTTGGCTGAAACAGGAAGCACAGTCCAGTGACTACTTACTAAAAAGAGAGATGTAAACCAGAACCAATGTTGATTGGGAAGAATTAATATGGTGTCATTCTAGAAATGAGGGTGAGGAGGAGGCTATGGGGCTAGAGGATATGATGAATAAAAGGAGATTACTGAGAAGCAGGGGTGAAAACAGAAGATGCTGCCCAGAGCAGAGTGGGGTGATCAGCCATTTGGCAGGAGGTTTCATATCTTCCAACAGGTCGGGAGGGGAACTGTGGCCGTGGTATTAGGACTGCACCAGGGCAAAGGCAAAAATCTACCTTTGGCAATGGTACTGTGAAAATCGAAAGACCGTGGAAACCTGACCAAAACTCTTTGTCTTAGGCCCAAAGCTGCTGCCAAACCTTGCGCTTCCTAGTAGTGTACCCTGTAGACCGGCCCAAAGGCATAGACCCAGGGGCAGGAACAAAAACAGGCCTTCAGGAGGCAGAGTTTATCCTGAGGACCAGGTTGGTGCTTGGATCCCAGGGATGAGCAGTGAGCCAGAGGAGAGACTGGTGGGGACTGAGCTCCAAGGTCATAAGAGTTGGTAGAGGGACCTCTCTTAAGAGTCTGTTTTTTCCAAAGGCAAGGCAGTGGCATGATGCTCTCATAGCACTCCCCCACACCCTTTGGGACCAACTCTTCACTTTCCTCCCATCCCATTCCCACAGTGCTATGAGTGTGACTACCAGCTCTTCTGGTCTCTTCCCCTCCAGCTTCTCATCTAGTCAGCCATGTTTGCCTTTGGTCTCCCTCTGAACTCCTCTATTCAGGCATTTCCTTAGGCTTACCCAAATCGGACCCTTTCTTCATGGTCTGGCTCAAGACCACCCCTCCTTCCATCCTCCAGAGAAGCCTTCCTTGACTACCTGGCCCTTACTAACCTTACCTTCTTGCATTCTGCCAATGCCTGACTGTACACTGTTGGGTCTTGTTTCTCGTGTTATTGATTTTCTGCGAGTAAACTCTTTGAGGACAGTGAATCCTCAGAGAGTAGTATAAAACTTAGCATCTAGTAGGTACATGATAAAAGCTTAATTTTATTATAAAATGATTGTATGTTGTGTGTGGTGGTTTCCTTTTTTTCCTGCTAACTGTTCAAAATACTCTCATGTGCATTAAAAGTCTCATGAAGTAGGTTGTATCAGTAGCAGACTTTTTTTTTTTAAGCAAAGAAAGAAACACAAAAAGCCCAAACGACTCGGCTCAAGCCATTCACTGCTGTGATGGTGGGGTTCTCACTCCCTGCCCAGACCCCCAGGTTCTTACCTTGGTGACATAGCGTACGTATTGTGGTCGTTTGGATTTGAGGATGATGCCTATGGTGCAAGGGATGAGGATGAGGATCAGTGATATCATGATGCCGCCGTAGGGCACCTTGTCCTTCAGGGACCCATCATAGATGCCCCTGGAGTAAAGGTACAGGAGGAGGGGCATCATGCCCAGGGCAAAGAATGTGGAGCAGGTCGTCATCACGATGCTGAGGGAGACATAAGAAAAATGCAGAGAGAGAGATCATTAATTCAGGCATACCTCATTTTATTGCTGTTCACAGTTGTGTTTTTACAAAGTGAGTGTTTGTGGCAATCCTGCATCAAGCAAGTCTATTGGTGCTGATTTTCTAACAGCATTTGCTCACTTCTTGTCTTGTCATGTTTTAGTAAGTTTTGCAGTGTTTCACGCTTATTCACTGTATTTGTTACAGTGATTTTTGATATTACTATTGTAATTGTTTAGGGGCACTATGCATCATGCTCATGTAAGATGGCGAACTTAAAGGATATAAATGTGTGTGTTTTGACTGCTCCCCCTCTTTTCTGTCTCCTCGAGCCTCCTTATTCCTTGAGACACAATACTGAAATTAGGCCATTTACGAATCCTGCACTGGTCTCTTAAGTGTTCAAGTGAAAGGTAGAGTTGGATGTCTCTTATGTTTTTAAGTTAAAAGGTAGAAATGTTTACTCTTAGGAAACCCTGTGGAAATCCCAGGCAGACAGAAGGCCAGGCCTCTTGTACCAAACTCCCAAATTGTAAGTGCAAGGGAAAAGTTCTTGAAGAAAATTATAAGTGCTACCCTAGTGAACTCATGAATGAGAAGAAAGCAAAACAACCTTATGGAGAAAGTTGTAGTGATCTAAAGAGACGATCAAACCAGCGACAACAGTCCCTTAAGCCAAAGTTTGATCCAGATCAAGGCCTGAACTCTCTTCAATTCTAAGAGGTGAGGAATCTGCAGAAGAAACATAAGCATGTTTCTTGCCATATGCATATATGTGGAAGTGCAAGGTGAAGTAGCAAGTTCTTATGTAGAAGCTGCAAGTTATCCAGAAGATCTCCCTAAGGTCGTCAGTGAAGGTGGCCGTGCTAAACAGATTTTCAGTGCAGATGAAACAGTGTTCTATCAGAAGAAGATGCATCTACAGCTGCCATAGATAGTAAGTCCTCTGATGGATCTGTGCAAAGTTAACAGAAAATCTTCAGGAAAGGATTCACTGTTCTAGATGGCCATTCATGATTCTTGGAAAGAGGTCAAAATATCAGTGTTACAGGAGTTTAAAAGAAGTTAACTTCAACCCTCCTGGATGACTTTGAGCAATTCAAGACTTTAGTGGAGGAAGCAACTACAGATGTGACTGGTGAAAATAGCAAGAGAATAAGAAGTGGAGCCTGAAGATGTTACTGCATTGCTGCAATCTCATGGTAGAACTTGAATGGATAAGGAGTTGCTCTTTACGGATGAGCAAAGAAAGTGGTTTCTTGGGATGGAATCTACAACTTGTGAAGATGCTGTGAAGATTGTTGGAATGACAACAGAGCGTTTTGTATTTTATGTAAACTTAGTTGATAAAGCAGTGTCAGGGTTTGAAAGGATTGACTTCAGTTTTGATAGAAGTCCTATTGTGGATAAAATGCTATCAAACAGTGAAATCATTTGTGAAGAAAGAGAAGGGAAGAGTCAATCAATGGGGCAAACTTCATTGGTTTATTTTAAGAAATTGCCACAGCCACCTTCACCTTCAGCAACCACCATCCTGATCAGTCAGTAGCTGTCAACATTGAGGCAAAACCCTCTACTGGCCAAAACATTACCACTTGCTGAAGCCTCAGATGATGGTTAGCATTTTTAGCAATAAAAAATTTTAAAATTAAGATACATAAATTTTTCTAAACACAATGCTGTTGCACCTTTAATAAGTCACAGTATAGTTTAAACATAATATGTATATGCACCAGGAAACCAAAAAATTCACATGACTTACATTATTGTGATATTCTGCTTTATGGTGGTGGTCTGGAAATGAACTTGCAGTATCTCCAAGGTATGCCTGTACTATTTGTGGGGTGCTTGCTCTATGCCAGGCACGGCGTGAAGAACCTTACATACGTTGCTTTGTTTCCTCTTCCCAGTAGTTTTAGGAGGTAAGCATACTATCACCTTTTTACTGAGGAGAAAACTGGGGACTTGAAGGGTTGTGACTTGCCCAGGATCACAAAGGTAGGAAGGCTGAGGCAGGATTTGAACCCAGGTCCCTGTACACCTCACTGTGAAAGTGAAAGTGAAGTTGCTCAGTCGTGTCTGACTTACTGTGACCCCATGCACTGTAGCCTACCAGGCTCCTCTGTCCGTAGCATTCTCCAGGCAAGAATACTGGAGTGGGTTGCCATTTCCTTCTCCAGGAGATCTTCCCAACCCAGGATTGAACCCGGGTCTCCCACGTTGTAGGCCGATGCTTTACCATCTGAGCCACCAGGGAAGTCTACACTTCACTGTGGAAGGAGTTATTTTGATCTCCTCTGTAATAGAACTGTTTTTGCTCTCTGTACTTGCATATATGCACAGCCCATTTTGAAAAAACCTGTGCGATCCCATTGCTGACTATAGCCCATTGGATTGTAGAATAACACTTGACCTACAGTGGCTAAGTGCCTGCCTTTAGAGCCTAGGGCATGGCTGGACATGGTGGTTCTATCTAACTAAAATAACAGATCAAGCACATCAAGAACATTTTCTGTCAGGGAGTTTGAATGTATACACAATGATAGAGCACTTGGTCTTTGAGAGTGGGTGGCATGGGAGGGATGGTCAGGCAAAAACCAAAAAACATGCAAAGAAAAAGCAGTAAACAGAGGCTGTGATTAAGTGTGAAAGCACTCAGTCATATCCAACTCTGTGACCCCATGGACTATACATCCATGGAATTCTCCAGGCCAGAATACTGGAGTGGGTAGCCTTTCCCTTCTCCAGGGGATCTTCCCAACCCAGGGATCGAACCTAGGTCTTCCACATTGCAAGCGGATTCTTTACTAGCTGAGCCACAAGGGAAGCCCATATGATTTAAGAGAACTGTAAAAAAAAAAAGATGAAGGAGCACAGTAGTGGAGTATTAGAGAAGGCAGCAACCCACTGTCAAGTGACAAGATACTCTGGTCATCAGACCTGTTTTGTATCTTGAGTAACATTCTAGTTCCTAACACTTGAGGGTTTCTCAGGTGGTGCCTAGTGGTAAAGAACCTACCTCCCTGCCAATAAAGGAGATGGAAGAGATGTGGGTTCGATCCCTGGGTTGGGAAGAGCCCCTGGAGGAGGACATGGCAGCCCACTCCAGTATTCTTGCCTGGACAATCCCATGGAGCCTGGCAGGCTACAGTCCAGTCTGGGGGTCACAAAGAGTTGCACACGACTGAAGCGACAGCACACACATGCACACACACCCAACACTGATACTCTCATGTTCCTTACATTTTGGCTTATTCTTAACATTGTTTAAGATAAATTGAGTGTGAGTCTCAGATCCTGAATAATAATGTATCTTCCCAGTTCTCATTTGTATCCTAACTGTCCTAGTGCCATCTGCATTTGGTATCTCATTATTGTTAATCCCAGAACACTGTGTAGGAAGAGGCTCTCCAGAAAGACCAACTGAGAGAGGAAGCTGCTAGAGAACATTCTTGGATTTGAGACATTCACTTTACAATATATGCTCTGGCTTCCATTCCAGTGAGTAGGTTGGGGATGAGGGCTTGATAAGACCCCAGAAAAACCACGCTAAGTGTGCGTCCTTCCTCTCCATAGCCCTATTCACTATCTACACTTATTCATTGTTTTCACAGAGATCAAGTATGACTTAAATGACTGTTAACTACATCCTAGTCCAAAGGGTCTGGAGTATAGCCATCAAGAACACAATCGGTGGATGTATATCACAAGGAGTAAGAAGCTGAGGAGAGACCCTCAAAAGATACTGTAGACTGAATAATGGGAACCTCCCCCCAACATACTCACGAACCCCTAAAACACTTGAGCACATACTCCAGCTTGTAAGAAACTGAGGGAGGTTTCCTGGGACTAGAAACAGAATGTCGAGTAATTAGTAGGCTTGTGCTGAAGCTGCAGCATGTGGAGGGGTAGATGGTAGGGTGTTAGTCTTGGTAATCTGGTGTTTAGGTTTTAATACCCAAGGGAGGGGCCAGAATTGAAAATTTAAGCCTATGAAAAAAGGAGAGGTGAAACAAATGTTTACTCAGTAGTCAATATTCCAAAAGGACTATTGGAAAAATAGAACATCTAATTCTCTTACGGTTGAATATGAAATCATAATGGAAAAAAGGAAGAATTGGAAATATTTGGAAAAAGTAGAAGAATATAGTATTTTAAAATATGGGTAGATGACAGAGGATGAGATGGATGGCATCACCAACTCGATGGACATGAGTTTGAGCAAGCTCCGGGAGTTGGTGATGGACCCGAATGCCTGATGTGCTGCAGTCCATAGGATCGCAAAGAGTTTGACACAATTGAGCAACTGAACTGAACTGACTTTGGATTAGGCAATGATTTCTTAGATGTGATACCTAAAGCACAGGTAACCAAAGGAAAAACAGGTAACTGACTTCAAAACTTAAAAAATGCTTCAAAGGATACTCTAAGTCTCCCACATAATGGGAGAAGATATTTGCAAATCACGTAAGTGTCCAGTATCCAGAATAGATAACTCTCATAATTCAACAGCTAAAAAACTCCAAATAACTCAATTTTAAAATGGGCAAAGGACTTGAATAGTCATTTCTCCAAAGATACACAGTTGGCCAACAAGCACATGAAAAGATGCTCAATACCATTTGTTATAAACAAAATACAAGTTAAAACTGATAACGAAATGATAAAGTGGTAATGAGATACCACTTCACATCCACTAGTAGAGCTAAACAATAAAAAGATATGGATAAGTCTTGGTGAGAATGTGGAGAAACTGGAATCCTCTTCTGTTTTTGATGGGCATGTAAAAATGGTATAACTACTCTGGAAAAGTTTGAGAGCTATAAAAAAGTTAAACATAGAGTTATCTATCGTATGTCCCAGTAATTCTGCTTCTTGGTATATACCCATAAGGAAAGCATATGTTTACACAAGTACATACAAGTGTTCATAGCAACATTAGTTATAGCTGAAAAGTGGAAAATAAAATATTTATGGATAAA